TTCGCTCTTGTTACCCAGGCTGGAGTGCAATGGCACGATCTCGGCTCACCGCAACCTCCACCTCCTGGGTTCAGGCAATTCTCCTGCCTCAGCCTCCTGAGTAGCTGGGATTACAGGCACGCACCACCATGCCCAGCTAATTTTTTGTATTTTTAGTAGAGACGGGGTTTCACCACGTTGACCAGGATGGTCTCGATCTCTTGACCTCGTGATCCACCCGCCTCGGCCTCCCAAAGTGCTGGGATTACAGGCTTGAGCCACCGCGCCCGGCCTTTTTTTTTTTTTTTTGAGACAGAGTTTCACTATGTCACACAGGCGGGAGTGTAGTGGCGCAATCTCGGTTCACTGCAACCTCTGCCTCCTGGATTCAGGTCATTCTCCTGCCTCAGCCTCCTGAGTTGCTGGGATTACAAGCACCTGCCACCACGCCTGGCTAATTTTTGTAGTTTTTAGTAGAGACAGGGTTTCACCATGTTGGCCAGGCTGGTCTTGAACTTCTGATCTCAGGTGATCCACCTGCTTTGGCTTCCCAAAGTGCTGGCATTACAGGCATGAGCCACTGCACCCGGCCACACCTCAACATTTCTAACAAATGTTAGAGAGCCGGGGAGAATGTTATCAGTTCTGTAGGCAACTCCCATGTGGAGAGCTTGATTTTGCTTGCCCAAATCTACTTAACTATTTTCTTCTCTAGTTAAAGAAGAGGGATGAGGCAGGATAAATGATCTCCTTGGGATTTAAACAGAACCCATGAAGCTTCAAGTGTTTAAAAGTGCTACAAAAATTTATATGTATCTTTACATGTCATAACCTTAGGCACTGAAAAAACTTGAGAGGCCTGTGGTCTCATGCATTGATGTTCACGTTCCCTGACCTGCTAAGCAAGAGGAGGGACTTGTCTGTTTCTCTAGACTTTAGACCATTTGAAGTTTATGGTGTGCCAGAAGGTTTAAGTTGATTGATTTCTGTTTTTCTTAGGAATCCTGGGCTTCAGGAAACAGCATTTTATTCAGGGAGCAACTTTGTGTTTGAAATTGATTTTTGTTTCTTCAAGCCAAAGTTGTATAGCCTTGAGAACTATTAAAAATGGAATAATGGTTGGGCATGGTGGCTCATGCCTGTAATCCCAGCAATTTGGGAGGCAGAGGTAGGTGGATCACCTGAGGTCAGGAGTTCAAGACCAGCATGGCCAATATGGTGAAACCCCATCTCGACTAAAAAATACAAAAATTAGCTGCACACGGTGGCACGTGCCTGCAGTCCCAGCTACTCAGGAGGCTGAGGCAGGAGAATCGCTGGAACCCAGGAGGCGGAGGTTGCTGTGAGCTGAGATTGCGACACTGCACTCCAGTCTGGACAACAGAGTGAAACTCTGTCTCAAAAAAAAGATGATAATAATAATGATGACAGAGGAAGTGTCTTTATATGCATTGGTGGTAGAAAAATTGGGCCAAGAAAGATTCAGGATTCTAGAGTGTTCTGACTTCGCTACTGATTAATTCATTCAGTGACCTTAGGCAATTCTGGCCATTATTTAACTACTCAGTTTCTCTGTCTGTAAAGTAAGAAACCTGACATTTATTATGCAGGTAGTATGGCAAGTGGATTGAGAGCACAGGCTCTGGAAGCAGCTTGCCTGGTTTGACTTCTGACTGTCTCACTTCTAACTGTGATTTTGGGCAAGCCAATTACCTCTGTGCTTCAGTTTTCTCATCTGTCAAATTATTATCCTCATAAAAATAGTACCTACTTCATAGAATTATTGTGGGGAATATGAGTGATGATACAGGTAAAATGCCTGATAGTCACACTTAGCATTAGTACTAGTATAATTTTACTTATGCAGAGTTCGTATTGACATTATTATCATAACCAAATCAGGGATACTGAGGTCCAAAGAAGTAGAAAACTAAGGACAAATAGAGGTTTGCCTTGAATCTACTTAAAAAATAAATTAAGCCCAGCCACATTATACAAGAGCCAAGATTTCCATAACTTTTGCAAATGTAGAATCACTGGAAATACTTTACAACTATCTCCACATGAGGTCAGGAAACATTCAAGGAACGAGTGGAGTGAAGCAAGGCCAGAAAGCAGAGTGGGAGGTCCCTGCCTCTGTCAGCAGGTCCAGGGCTAAGCCGAGGCATCTGCAGAATTTCCAGCAGCATCCTCATAACAATTATTTTAGGTGGCATCTGGATTTTACAAACATTAATTAGTTACTTGGATAAGGTGTGGGCTACACCACTCCCTGGGTTGGGTTAATTGAGTTACAAATACATGCTTAGAGATGATGTATCCCGAAGTGT